AGCCTACAGCAGCAGAGCAGTGGGGGGAAAAACCCGGGTGAAAATAAATCCTTTTTGAAAACACAGCTCTCTGCAAAGCCCTGCACGTTCCAGGGGCTGCTTTGCTGTGGATTTGACCACATCGCGGGGTGATGGAGCGGTACGAGGAGGCACATCAGACCTCAGCGCGGGGCAGAGCCAAGGTCGGCGCTTGCTGGTTATTTCTCAGCGTTGGGCAGCGTTAGACACACAAAAATACCAGCAGTTGCCATCTGTCCCTGTGCCATCTTAGCACAGCAGAGAATTACTCGGCGGTGTGAGGGCTTGCCAAATTTTTGGACACCAAATAACATGTGCATAGGGGGCGTGGGGGGAGCCACTGCTCCCCACCTCCCCCTGCAGCATTCCCTTGCTGCGAATTCCATTTTCCTTCTGCACTTCTCAGCAAAGAGACTGGTAAGTGCTTGAGCTTTCCATTACGTGGCTGGATCTGAGCAAAATAATTTCAGTTCTTTGAAAATCACAGCCTCTACCTACTACATCTGTCGGTGTGGGCTGCTCTGAGTGTTGCTTGCTCCTTGGTTTTGCAGCGCAGTGTTTAGACCCGTGCTTTGACAGACGCTGCGCACAGATTCCTACGGCAAAACCCCCGGGTGAATACAAAGGAAGCTACGGCTGTTTTGAATTACTGAAACTCAGCGAGTGCGAACGGTGAAGTTTTATAAATGCGTAAAGCCCGATTCAATACCTGTGGAAGTTGGTAAGGGTATTTCTCTGGCATTCGCTGGGCGGTGTGGGAAGCCCGTAATTAGAAAGCGGTAAAAATCACTCAGGTGCTAAACCTGGAAAATTGGTTGTGCAATTAAATGCGAAGTTGCCAGAGGAAACATACCTGCAGGGTGGAAAGCCCTACGTGTGCTCCACACGTGGCTTTGACCGAGGTCTTCCACCAACACCGTGTTCCACCTCCTCCCAGTCCTGCCCCTCGCCTGCATCCCATCACCAGTATCTCTCCGCCTGCCCCTTTGCTCCCGTAATTGCGCCATAACCTGGAGCCAGCCACGTGCACGCTCTCCGGGACCAAAGCAACCGCCGCGAGCAGCAACGCGCGTGTGAAAGTGCAAACACGCGGTGGCAGGGCTTCAAGCAAGCCGCATGACCTCATGAGCATGTTCTCTGCCCCCCTTAAAGACCCTTCCCTTCAAAGGGACCCCCATCCCCTCCTGGGGGTGTCCTCCTCTGTGCAATGGGGAGCAACCTCCTGGTGATGCTGGGGGTGGCTCTTTAATAAGGGCAGAGATGGGGGGCGGGGAGGGGGGGAGCTGCCGGGGGGGTGGATGAGGGTTGTTCCATGCAGTCATGGTCAAACCACCTCCCACCACCACGCGAATGACGTCGGCGGTGATGGATGTGACATGCCTCGGAAACGCGCCCCGCGGCGGGGCTGAAGCCCCTCTCACCTGAGCTGGTGGTAAAGGTTATGTACGAGTGTTCGCTGGGGCTAGACCATATGGGGAACACCCACAGCTTGTACATCATTCCCGGCGTCAGATTCGCCAGCTGCACAGAGGAAGGGGTCTGAGCTTTTACAGGGATAGATTTCTCTGTCTTGTTACCTGAGAAACAGAAACCGCACATCAAACCCAGCCGCAGGAGGCTCGGAGAGATTACCGTGTTGACACTGCAGGCAATGCATTCTGCTATCCCTAGCTGCTGAGCAGAAATAATACAGCTTGATGGTCAAGGAGCTATTAACGGCTTCATGATTATTACTCACTGAGAATAGAAGAAAATCAGTGATGCAGGAATATGGTGTGGGTTTTGCTGCATCCCTGCTTGCTCTACCAGAAAAAATACCGGTAGCTACTCAGATCTCTCCCTACTTTCAAAATCCAATAGGTCCTTTATCTGCCCAGCCTCAGGTCTGGATATTTGGGTCTTTACCACAAAAGGTCTGGAATTTAGCTGGTCCCGCTCAGCTGGGTGAAGGTGCTACAGGACTCAGTAAAGGAGCCAATTCTTATGCTTTTGGGAGGGTTATCTGGGCACCAGGTTTGCTGGTAGGTTAAGGAGGCTTTGCATGAGCTGGATGTTGCGTTAAGACTGCTCGCCCCAGCAGGCAGAGTGCTGCTTTTGGGGGTGAGATGGGTCTTAGCCCTTCGGCTCAAGGGGGGATGCGTGTGGGCTGATGGCTCTCAGGCTCTGTCCAAGGATGACCTGTTCTTTGCACCGTGCTGGCAATCAGTTGCTGATGAGCTTAATGCTGAGCTTTAAACCATTGAATTCTAAGCAAGCCCACAGCGGGGCTTTGATTTGTGGCTCTGGAGGTGTGCGCCTCCCAGTCCGGCGGTGCTGTGGGGGAGGGGAAATGGGGCTTTGAGGCCCAAAGCACGCTGCTTGCTTCAAACGGCACCAGAAGGGGAGGAGAGCCGTGGCTGTTTGGAAGGGCTGAAATCTCTGAGATTTCCTCCCTCTTGTCCAGGTCCTGCTGAGGCTATCCCAAGGCACAGCTCGGCACGTGGGCTCTGGAAGGGCATCACCTGCGCTCCATGCTTCCAGTGATGGGGAAAACCCAGGGCTGGCAGCGGGTGATTTGGGAGCTGGGGTACTTGGCATTTAGGGCTTGGAAAGCTGATGTGCATCCTGAATTATGGAAACCAGATCAGAAGCGGGGAGGCTGAGCCTAGCCCAGCCCACGCTGCCTAACTAAGGCTGCAGAGCAAGACGAGGCACTGGCTGGGCATTAGAAGTTGTTTCAAGGAGAAAGCAAGGTCATCCCTTAAACAAAGTTGTAAAAGACCAAAAGTGGTTTGTTGTTAATGATTGCACCTAGTTGGTTTATTTGAAATGCCAATATAAGACCAGCGTACCAGATGATGTGAGGGCTGAAACGGCTGGGAAATAAAGTCAGAGATAAGCAGTAGTCATCACTGCCTATCTATTAAAAAAACCCAAAGTAACCGACCAACAACATGTAAACATCTTCTCTAAACAAGTACTAAAACCAGAGATACTGGCTTTGAGTTTCCAGGCTAAGTACGTAGCCTTACAATCTTAAGAGACAACGATACCCGATACAACAGGAGGTTTGGGATCATAGATGATTCTGCCAACTCCAGGTTCAAGGAGCCCGCCTTCAAAGGCATTTAAAACTGCTCTCCAGTTTATGTAGCTTTAATTCATTTTCTCTTAAAGTTTTGTCCCCTTTATATATATATTTTTAAGGGTCTTTACGTTGTGGCTGCATACAGTCCAGCTCAACGAACAGTTCACAAGCAAACAGCCTTGCTCATCTGTGTTTGATAAACGTCTCGTGACAGCCAGTGCGAGGAGGAGGAATCGCTTGTGAATCACCGGGACTAGCGCTGGTGCACCCTAAACAGCCACGGCCATGCCCTGCCTTTTCCTCTCCCATCCTCCACGTGGCCATAGAGCATCATCCCACTCGCAGTAATTAAGACCAAGTACTAGGTTGCAACCGTGGGAGCTGGCAGGATCTCTAATGGCATCACCACCCTATAGAGTCCCCACGCGATCTGATGCTTACTGGTGATATACTTAACCACAAAGTCAGTTCCTGCAGAGTAATTGTGGCTCCAGGTGATGTTTGCCCAGTTACTATTAGCCATAGCTCTTATGTCCCATATGGACGATCCATTGGTGGCTGGTGGACAGGTTAGAACAGGAGTTAGTATTTTGGATTATACACGAATGAGACCTCATCTAGCACCTGGTGTTGGTAAAACCTTACAAAATCATCCCTGAAGTTAAAGCTTTGATCTTAACCTACGAGCGTGCCTAAGGATGTATTTGTTCCGTTCATTTGGATTATACACGAATGAGACCTCATCTAGCATCTGGTGTTGGTAAAACCTTACAAAATCATCCCTTAACCTACGAGCGTGCCTAAGGACATATTTGTTCCATTTGAGATCCTTAACTTTAAACTTTTGGGGGAAGTTTGGGAGTAGAAGCTCCTTGCGTATTGGTGTTTAAGTCCAACTGCGCTCAGCTTATCTTTGGAGTCTGAAGGCTTCTGTGGCACATCCCTGAGGATTTTGGTCAGCAGGGGAATCTCCTGGCTAAACTCGTGCCTGAACGGACGTGGGAGACGCATGCATGAGCACCCATGGACTCACTGCCACAACCAAGAAGGAAAGACTGGGCTAGAATATTGTCATGGTACTGGGTCTAGAGACAGCCAGTGGGGCAATGAAGTCACTCGTTTCTGATTTTGAAGTTAAGGATTGTCGACGTTGCTTTGGAGAGCGGATGAGCTTCATTTCTAGTGAAGTAGAGCTAATCCACGAGTTTAGCGAGCGTTTAAGAGACGTTGGGTAAGTTATGCCTATGTTTGATTATTATGATGATGATAATTATTATTAATTCACTTCAGGGTGTAGCTCAGGTTTCGGCTTGACAAAGCACACATTAATAACTGCAGTCCCTGGGACGAGGCCAGCTAGGCGACTTTTAGGACATTGCAAGGACCTGAGGCCGTGGGGTCGGGGACGTGACCTAGAATCCCTCTTACAAATACAACCTGTGCTGCCACACGGTTGCCCTGTCTGCCCGCATTACGGCTCAGCCTCTTCCCTCGTGTCCCCAGGGTGGGTTGGGACACGCACGGTTCCTCTTGCAGCTCCTATTTTCCTCCCGTCTCCTCTCCCTGCTCGGCGCGCGCCTCGCTGCTTAATTGCCTATGTTCAATTAGCAATGTTTTCCCAGGCAGTCAATAGCGACTGCGTTGTGGTAGCAATTTGGCATCGTTACCAAGACCTCCCATGCAGCAGTGAAGCTGCGTCCGTGCGTCTTGCACCAGTTTTTAAGCTGGTTTTGCTTTATCTGGATGTGCCGTTAGCAGCCCTGAGGAGCCTGAGGCCTCTCTGGCCGGGGAGGCACGTGGTGCTGGGAGCTGGGATACAAATCCACGTTTCTCAGTTCAGGTCCGCGTCTTTAATAACCAAATTAGCGCGGAGCAGGAAACGTGCTGCTGATTTGCAAATCTGTTTTACTGTGGAGTATCAGGTGGAGCCTGGTCCTCCCAGCACAGGCTTTTGATGATGTTTTTATTTTTTTAGCCATCCTGAGCTAATGATATAAAGGGGTCTGAGCTGCTTTAATCGAATTCCTTGAGTTAAATGGGTGTCAACTTTAATATTCAGTATTATTATCATCTCCTTTCCCTCTTTATGAAGAGTTAACAAGGATTTCTGAGCTTTTGCACTTGCGTTTTTGAGTGTGTCCTATCCAGCTACATAACTGAATTATTTTGATTGCGTTCCCTTTTGCTACCAGCTTGACTTGGTTTTTAATAACCTGAATACAACTATCGTTAATGATTTATTAACCGTAGATACCATTATAGCAGTGCTTTAAAAACAAGGCTCACCATCTCTCTGTATCTATTGGTAAAACACGCATGGTAGAGAATATTCCTCCACCAAAACAGAGCTCGATCATCCCGTTCTAGCTGATTGCATGCGAAGTTTATCTTGACCTGAGAAATACCTGGCACACACCTGCGTGTTGTACCTCAAGCGCTTCCCCAGCTCTCCCGTGGGCTACGGCTTGGTTACACCACAAAGAGCAGTAGCATAAACCAAAAGACTCGTATACATGATGACAGGTCTCTTAGCTAACAGCTGATGTGCTAAATCTGAAGTGGCACCTTCTATAATAGTAACAGAACCCCTTTTTAATGGCGATAAGATAGGAGATAATACTTTTGAGAGCTTTTGTGGGGTCTCCCACCTCCTTCCCAAACACTGAAGCTAATTCGGCATCACGACACCCCGGGGAGGGCTGCGTTATCCCCAAGACTGAGACCAGGAGGCTGGCACAGAGACCACCAGACCCCCAAATTGCTGAGAGCCACCTCGATTCCTGAGCCTGTGCCACCTCCAGCTCCTCGCAACGCCATTCCCAGAGCGCGGGATGCCTTAAATTTTGCCTCTGCCCGTTCTTAATCCTTGCTCTGAGCAAGACGCGGGGAAGGTGCCAGTAGGGTTAGAGGGGTTAGAGGAAAAGGAAAGCGCAGTACCCAACTCCTGCTTTGTGGTGGCTGCCGGAGCCCTCTCTGTCGCTGTTGTAGTGCTTGCGACGGTGGTGGCGGGTAGCGTGGTGGCGGCTGTGGTGGTGGTGGTAGTTGTGTCGGTAGTTGTGGTAGTTGTGTCGGTAGTTGTGGTAGTTGGGGTGGTTGTAGTACTGGTTAGACCGATTGTAGTTGGAGGCAACCCAGTTGCAGCTGGGAGAGGGAAACACTGGCTTTTTAGATGAGGTGATGTCTCCTCGGGGCTTGCGCTCACCATCCCCGACGGCTGGACACGCCGGCACGCGAGAGAAAGCAGAGCAGCACAGCACAGAGACGGGGGGACCGGGGAGGAAGGCAGCAAACGGCACTGGGAAACGTGAGGCTGAACCCCTTTTCCCATCCCCGTCCCCGTGCAGAGATGGCCACGCGCCCGGCTGAGGGGCAGGGAGCGATGCTGGGGGCGAAGAGGGGCAGCAAGCGGGGGGCTGCCCCCGGCAAGCTGCTCCTGAGCACCCCACCGCCTGCACCCACGGTTTGATCCCTTTCCCAGGGCCGAAGGACCTGCTTCTCTTCTGCCTTTGCTCTGCTGCTGGTGCCCCCCACCACCCCGGGCTTAAATCGCATGGAGGGCGTGGGAGGAGGAAGGTGAGGGGGGTTTTGGGGGTGCACAGGGCAGGCTGTCCTCGCCCCATCGTCCCCCCGGCGCAGAGCTGCGCTGAGAGCACTTGGGGCTCCCTGAAATAAGAAACAGGGTTTATCTCTAAAGAAAACAGAATAATCCCATTTGTCGTGGGCCAGGCAAGTCACAAGTGCCTGAATGCAGCCATCCCTGTGCTACACCTCCAGCATTTTTGAGCTGCCCATGCAGCCTGCAGCTTCCCAGCCCTTTCCTTCCCGGCTGTCTCTGCGCTAACGCTGCAGGCTGGCGATGGAGCCGCCTTAGCATGAACGTGGATTTTAGCGTAGGTGAGTGATGGATGGTACTTTGCCATCACTGCCCCTCACAATTTACATTTAACTCAGGACGAAGGGGTTGGCACACCCCAAGCTGTCCGGAGGGGTGGGAAAGTCTGAGCAATTTGTTTTCTAAATAGCCCCCCACATCTCGCCCCATGCGGTATTTCCAGAGCAGAGGGGTAAATGGGCACTTTACGCACACCCCCCGCAGCGTGGTTGAGAGAGTCCTGAACACCACCGGCGGGGAGCGCGTTGGCTTGGACCTGAAAACCTGCCAGCCAAAACTGCAGCCGAATTGCTGCTTAAACTGCGTAAGGGAGATGAGCGGGGCTTTACCCCGTGATGCTTGCGTTGGATTAGATTGACTTACTCTTACTGTAGATCAGGGGATGACAAACTCCCCTCTTAGGCAAATGAAACCGTCTACTTTAAATATCCCCCGCAAACAAGAATAGCTCTAGGAGAGTGCTTTAAAAGGTGTCCCAGAACAGAGCCAGGGCTTGCTTTTTCACCAAGTCCATCCTCCAGGAGAGCCAACCCCTAAAACCTCAGCCCCTCCAGAGATCCAAAAGCAGAGAAGAGCAGTAGGTCGCTCAGCCCATCCCCCCACCCACCACAGCTGCAATAAACCCACAGTTACCGGCACATCCCAAAAACATCAGCCCACCCCAGCGCGTGCCCGGGGCGCAGCGCGTCCTCTCCGCGGGGAGGGGGGGGATGGAGATGGTGGTGACAGGGAGGGGACCCTGGGGGGGAAATGGCACGGCTTTGTCCTCGGGTGTTTGTAGGTAGCAAAGCTCTCTCCAACCGCACCCAGCCCCGGCAATCGGGGTGCTGGGGCTTTTGCTGTTCTGCATTTCTTTCACCCGGTTACTTCGCTGTGGCCTGAGGCTATAAGTTACAAAAGCCTTTCTTGGGTTGTGAAGTATTAACATCCATCTTTGCTGATTCATGGCGGGTTTTTTGGAAGGTTAAGAGATTAGTGGCACTAGGTTAATATCGCCATTAACCCGGTTAAGCTGCAGCTCCTGAAGAGGTTTGCAGTGTACACAAACAGCACCGCAGACACTGGTTATGAGCTAACGCAGGCTCAGGGTTTCCCCTGGGAATCCCTGCCCCCCCCCGAAGGAAAACGGGACCTAACAAGGCACAAAGTAACTTGCCGAAAGGCAGGAGCCGGTGGGAAACCTCGTACAGCCCCCAGCTCCCAGGCCTGTTCCACATCTCTGCACCGTGCCTCTCCCGCACAGCACCCTCGAGGACTGGCTGCAGCACCGATACCACAGCTTTAGCAGGAGAGATTTGGGTTTAATGCCCCTCTAGACCCTCGATGGGCAGAGATTATCTGGGATCCATCAAAGCTTCGCTGTCCCCCATGTAGGCTATCATCCGTACGTGATACACGCAGACGCACGTGCACGCGGGTGAAGCTGCGGTGCCAAGACCCTCCTGGATGCTGAGTTGACCGAAGCGATCAGCATCGGTCTGAGCTGTGCTGCTCAGCTCTGGCCGAGAGCGATGCCAGGCAGGATTTGCCCACACCACTCTGGTGGAAGCCACCCCCGAGAGCAGGGCTACCACATCGCATCAGGATAATGCGGGTTTGCTTCCAAGCGGGGTCCCTGCGTGAGATTGAGGAGGGCGGGTGTTGGTGCCGGGGATAAAAATGATCCCGGCAGGACTAGGAACAGGTAAAAAGTGGGATCGGGTGAGTCTGGAATGCAATAGTTCAGAGAGGGGAGGATGGGGAGAGCGTCTGTGGCGGGGGGCAGGACGGGACGGGGCGGTGGGAAGGCGGCACTGCGGCCGGCCGGGGCTCCCGCAGCCATGGGGGGATGGAGCCCTAAGCTGCCCCGGGATTCAAAGCCACAGCCTCATTTGTGTCTGAATATGAAATGCATGCGGGAGAAAAGCTCAGCTGGGAGGTTTGGTGGAGAGAAGATAAAGGGTCATTTTCTAAGCTTTGAAATCCATCCCCTAATGAGAGCTGATTTCGGTCTGGGGGGAGATAAAGGTGGGTTTTGACAGAGATCAGAGTGGTCGGCATCCCCTGAAGAAAAGGGCACCCTGCCACGGGGAGCAGCAGGGAGCAGCCTGCGCGGGGCCATGGCCCTTCCCCGGGGTCCCCCACTCGCTGCCCACCGTGTTGGGGCTAACGAAGGAGCGACAGATCACTGCGCCTGGCAGCAAGATGGGGGGACGGGGGTGATGGAGGGCCGGGCTGGCATTTCCAGAACTGCTCATTCTGAAAAATCTAGAAATCACACACATCCTTCTAAAACTGTGCTTACAATGCCTCCTTGGGTAAAGCTTCTGAGCTTTGCAGAGTAGCTGAATTTATTTTTCTGCATTCCCAATGTGAGGTTCACTCAAGGGCTTTAACAACAGTTGTCCCCAGTTTCAGTACAGGACCGAGCATCTGGCGTTTGTGTGGTGGGGAAAAAAATTCCCCCCCCTCTCTGAAAGCAGGAGGCGATGCAGAGAAGGGGCTGCCACCTTCCCAATTGCAGCACCCTGAAAACCAGTGCCTCAAGCAGGCTTGAAATTGCCCCAGTACACACAGGAAACGCAGAGTAGAAGTCAGCAACAGCAATTCCCGTTCTCCTTGCTCCCACCGTAGCCTAACCCGTCTTCCTGGAAACATCTAAACGACCACTCAGCTCATTAACGGGCCCCATCTTTGCAAGGCAGAGATTGCTTTTTCTGTCTGCAAGATGCATTACCCTTTCAGGTAATGGAGACCGAGGGGCACGGTGGGAGGAGATCTGCTGCTATAATGGACAGGGGCTGCAGCAGTCTGGCGGTAGCAATTAATAGGCTAAGTAATGAGGGAGATGCTTGCAGCAGGACGGCTGTGCTCTTTGCCGCAGCTTGGCTCCTCTGCCCATGAATGGACCAGTAAAAGGGAGCCCAAACCTTAGACAAAAACTGTGTGAGGCTCAGCTTCGGGCCAAAATAAAACAACAACTGAGAGGAAGGATCATAAAAGCAAAAGGGGGATATTTAAAGAGGGAGCCTCTTAAGAGAGGGACTCGAGTCCTGTTCTGAGTAGTCTAGTTGTTCAGTAGTTGCTGGGGTTTTTTGCAAATACAGGAAACAATACCCATCCCTGCTGCTCTTTAATTATTTAAAGGTGCTTTTAATGTGTTGTTAGGCTGTAGTAACAGCTTTCCCTTGGGTGTGTCTACAAAATAATTGGGCTTGGAGAAATTGGATTAATTTTTCATGAATTTTGATAATTAGCCAAATACGTTTTCAGAGATTTTTTTTTTGGTTTCTTCTCACCCTCTCCCAGTTTTTAACAATAGAAGGAAATTGAAAAGTCTTTACCATAAAGCATTCCAAATCTGATGGTAGCTCTAAGAAATTCAGGAATAGAAAGGGGCAATTGAGCAGCCTCTGGAGGAGCGGGGTCAGCAGTTCTCTGTTTCTGCTGCCGTCCATTTCTAAAACGAACAATGGGATCTTTCTCCTCCGATCACTAATTACGGAGAGACAAGAAGGGATCAGAGAAAATGTTTTTTTGCCTTAAAGTCTAAGACCAATTCTCTTCATGGTCCCTAAAGAAGTTTTCCATACACAAAGGTAGTGTAGGATCCAGTTTTGATTTTTTTTCCTCATTCATAGCATAAATGAGAGCCCTTTTTAGATGCCTTCTCTATTCCCAAACCACCTCTCCCTTTGTCCAGGTCTGGCTTAGGATTGCCCTTCACTTTGCTTTCATCAAGCTGGTCCAGTTTCTCATACACATACAAACCCCTAGATATGTAAAGTTACCTTTTCATATTTTTTTTAGTGCCAGCAGCCCGTGGCAAAGAGCTTTTACTGCAATTTAAGACAACTTTCACAAAATCTAGGTCACTGAGCGGCGATGAATCTTCTAGGAAAGGTCAAGCAGTATTTCAGTGGACCCCTGTACTTGTTAGGAAGAGCGCCAGCCTCTTGGGACAAACACAGTTGTGCAACGGCTCCCACCCCGTGTCCTAACGAGAGATGACGTCCAGCTCAAGAGCGAGCCGAAGATGTGTGCTGGACCTTGCCGGGGCGTACGCTGCCTGGGTTGCTCTTGCTGAAGTGCGGCACGGTAAGGAAGCCGTGGACGGGCACTGAACGACCTGCTACCCCACTTACTGACTCTGAGACATCATTCAGCTCTGACCTATCTTTTCACTTTACTGTTTCTCCTAGCAGAAGGTAAAAACCAGAGGGGTGGGGGACCAGTGGCCTCTGGTCTGGTAGAATTATCCTTTAAATGGCAATTCCTTCATCTAGCTTCCAGTGGTATAAGAAATCATGCCTGAAATGATACGGTGCCGGAAGGATAAAGAGATCATGTTGTGTTTTCAAAGTTCAGCACTGCAAGTACAAAAGTACTTTAAGAAGGTGATCCTGATCCACAAAGAAAATCCAGATTCTTGTGGGTAAGCTAAGCCCTGGCCAACGTACGAGCTGTAGCAGCAAAACGGCCCTCCCGGACTTGGAGGATCGAGATCCTCTAAGCCAAAAGGTTACGTCCGTTACCACCCAAACCAGACCAATCTGTTACCCCCTTTTTCTTCAGGAAGAGGAAATAGAGTAAGAAAAAGATTGGCATCTACTCAGAAAGGAAAAAAAAAAAAAAAAAAGAAAACCACAAAATAATATTGGGTAGAGAGACATCACTGCAACAAAATAAAAGGAGAAGAAACATCTATAAGGTGGGAAAGCAAAACCTACAGGTGCAGAGAGCAGGTCCTGCACTTGTATCCCTTGGGAAGAGTCTTCCCTAAGAAGCTGTTCCTCCTTGGGAAGCCCCGGCAGCCCCGGGGCCACGTCCAGCAAAGGCAAAGCACGACCTCTTACAGAGCCCTCGGTGCAGGGCAAATGAGTGCTGTTGCTCCAGACCAAAAAGAAAAAAAAGCTTTTCTGCAGCATTCGGGGTGAGTTTTGGCTGGCTGCACTCCCTGGCTGCCGTGAGCCCCCTTCGGAGCTTGGTCCCAGGGCTGTCCCCAGGCAGGGGGGAAGACGCGTCTGCAGCTTTCGTAAGAGGTGGGCGTCCTTCTTTGGGCAACCAGAAGTTGTGCTTATGCTTTGGACTTTGCAGGGTTGACACTGGGTAACTGAGGGTTTGGGTTTTCATGAAAGCAGGTTGAGATGCTGCCCTCCCTCCCCCCGTTACAAGGAAAGGTTTCTCTCTGCTTCAATGCTGCTGCAGAAATTCGCAATCGAGGGCAAAGCCAGCAATAGCCTCGCATGCAGACATGCACAGCGGTGGCACAAACATCATCCTTAACCCTTTCAATGGGCACCTGGAAACAAAAGGATTCTCCTGTACGAAAGCCCTGGCAGCCCTGAAAGAACCTTGGGGAGGTGCCTGGCTTGTGGTGGCCAAAGGGGGCAGCTGCTCCAGCAGCAATATTGCAGGCTCCCGGGTGTAAAAATGCAGCTTAAATAGTGCAGGGCAGAGCCCAGGCAGGCACCACCGAGTCAGGGAGGGCTGGTAAACGTTCTTCTGTATTTCGCAGGGCAGGGATGTTGAAGCTTAAAAGGGCTTTGGCATTAAAAACCTCTTTAACAGGGCAACTTGACTCTCATTTTTGCGTGTACAGTCTGTGGCAGCTGCAGTGTTTGGTGGGTTTGGCTGTCATTAGGCATCGGGGAGGCTGCTAAGCCCTGCTCAGAGATATTTTAATCTTTGCAGCCCCCCGCCCCATGGAGCCTGCCCTAGTCCCTGCTGCCCGCGGGGCTTCGTTGTACCTGCTGGCGTTTTGTATGTCCAATTTAGACTCCTGACATTTCACCTTCCCATTGAAAGGGTTAATGGAGTGCATGCTTAATTGCCAGCACACCCGAGCGAGCGTGGAGTGAGCCTTGCCCCATGCCTGTTACCTCCTCCGGCTGGTACGGTACCTGGGGTTGGCGTGGCTTCAGAGGGCAGCGCCAAGGATAGAGAGGGGAATACGAAGAGAGCATAGAAAAGAAGGGAAGAGAAAACAGAGGAATATATAAAACAACCAGAACACACCAATGAGAGACTTGGGACCACTTGCACACAGTCACCAGAGAGTGGAGAGAGAGGGAATAAATGCATTCGCTACAGCCCAGCACCCTGCTCTGCATCGGAGCCGCTTGCAGAGGGCAGAGGGAGCAGGGACGGCCCCTTGGAGATGGAGATAACCGGTTAAACACACCCCAGCTCGGTTAAACACGCACCAGCTCCGCCGCAGCGATGCCAGTGGTGTCAATTAAGCAAAGCGCTTAAGCAGGTGCTTATATCTGATCCCAGCAAGGACTGGTTTTGGCTCTCGGAAGTTCACCTTAGGTTTTTTTTTTCTAGTGTAATTCTAGCGCTCGTCCTGCCTCGCGTGGGTTGGAGCCCGTGGTGCAGCACATCAGAGAGATGTATTTTATTTAAAATTCTCAGGTGAATGAGTCTGGCAAGCAGAAAACAACCTCTGGGTGCATTAAGGGGTTTAATTTTCTTAATCTGCTTTTTTTTTTTTTAAAATTCCAAATTCATCTTTCGCGTAGCTTTACGCTACGCGAAAGATGAATTTGGAATTTTAAAAAAAAAAAAAAGCAGATTAAGAAAATTAAACCCCTTAATGCACCCAGAGGTTGTTTTCTGCTTGCCAGACTCATTCACCTGAGAATTTTAAATAAAATACATCTCTCTGATGTGCTGCACCACGGGCTCCAACCCACGCGAGGCAGGACGAGCGCTAGAATTACACTAGAAAAAAAAAACCTAAGGTGAACTTCCGAGAGCCAAAACCAGTCCTTGCTGGGATCAGATATAAGCACCTGCTTAAGCGCTTTGCTTAATTGACACCACTGGCATCGCTGCGGCGGAGCTGGTGCGTGTTTAACCGAGCTGGGGTGTGTTTAACCGGTTATCTCCATCTCCAAGGGGCCGTCCCTGCTCCCTCTGCCCTCTGCAAGCGGCTCCGATGCAGAGCAGGGTGCTGGGCTGTAGCGAATGCATTTATTCCCTCTCTCTCCACTCTCTGGTGACTGTGTGCAAGTGGTCCCAAGTCTCTCATTGGTGTGTTCTGGTTGTTTTATATATTCCTCTGTTTTCTCTTCCCTTCTTTTCTATGCTCTCTTCGTATTCCCCTCTCTATCCTTGGCGCTGCCCTCTGAAGCCACGCCAACCCCAGGTACCGTACCAGCCGGAGGAGGTAACAGGCATGGGGCAAGGCTCACTCCACGCTCGCTCGGGTGTGCTGGCAATTAAGCATGCACTCCATTAACCCTTTCAATGGGAAGGTGAAATGTCAGGAGTCTAAATTGGACATACGAAACGCCAGCAGGTACAACGAAGCCCCGCGGGCAGCAGGGACTAGGGCAGGCTCCATGGGGCGGGGGGCTGCAAAGATTAAAATATCTCTGAGCAGGGCTTAGCAGCCTCCCCGATGCCTAATGACAGCCAAACCCACCAAACACTGCAGACGCCAC